CACTGGGAGGGCAGCCTGGGCAGGGGTAGGGGGGTGGCATTGCTGGTCCTGATCCTATCGGGGACCTGGGGTTTGGGGTCACCCTTAGTGGTCCCGCACAGCACGGGGGGCACCGTCCCTGCGCTCCATCTGCACCGGGAGGAGGGAGGTTAGCCAAGGCTGCACCACTTCGGCGAATCCGAGTGGTGTTCGTGTTCCATCCAGCTCCGACAGGCCGACAAAGACTTGGCTCACCTCTTCGCAGAGCAAATTCCCCAGCCCAAGCCTGTTTGAAGGTCACCAGCAAATCGCTGTAACGGAGGTGGGCTCGGCTGCTGTCAGGGCACGAGACCAGCCACAATGGCAAACACTGAGGAGAGCAAGAGGAGGCTTCCACACCTGTTGAACCACCTGCAGGGAGAATAATTTCAATTATATCTCCCTTTTGGAAAGGACACATCGAAGTGGCAGAGAGGCTCCGTGCACGGCAGCAATCGGGTATTAACTCCCCGCATCCAACAGGTGTGAAATTGAATCCTGGCCCATGCGGGGCAGGAGCTGAACGCTGCCCGGTCCTGCCAGCGCAGGCAGGGGGGGGGTCCCCTCTCCCCACCCGGCTGCCTGAGCCCCCAGCCCGCAGGAGAGGCCCCTGCTGCTCTGCCAGGTCCCGTCCCCAGGAGGGATGCGCTGACATGCAGAGCTACAAATCAAAGCGGAGTGTCTCCAGATGCAGGTACCAGGAAAAACAACTTATTTGTTTGAAAAGAGGCTTGCGTATCCAGCTAATAAACTTGGGAGTATGATAAACGAGGTTCCCTGACTTCCCTGAGAGCATTGGAGGGGACCACAGAGCGTCTCCCCGACAGCCAGCTCCTGCAAAGACAGAGCAGTTCTGGGGGGATAATAGGGAGCCTGGGGGTTCTCCAGCCTTGGTACCCCCAGCCGCAGGGACCGTGCATCGCCTGGCCTGGTGAAGGGCACCAGGCAGCACATGAGCCCGCCCAGCTCGCTCATGTTCCGTTCTCCCTCTGTTAAGGATGTGACAGGCCAAAGAAAGCATCTGCTAGCAGGAGGACGGCAGGGTCCGGGCTCCGTGAACGCTGTCAGCAGCAGCAGGATGGTTTGGGACGTTCCATCCTCAGTGATGAGCATCTTGCAAACAAAGGATCTCTTTACAGAGCTCGTTCCTCTGATGAAGGCTCTCCGAAGGCACATCCATTGGAAGAAAAGAGCATGCTTCAATTATGCTGATGAGAAACTTGGCAGCCTCAGTTGCTTGGTGCTTCTCCCTCTGATGTGGAGGCATTTCCCCTTCCCCGTGTCTTCCTCGGAGAGGGATGAAGGCAGCGGGCTGCCATGGGCACGGGGGTGCTGGGTGGGGGGGGGGTTACCCTCACAGCACCGGCCCGATCCAGGCTCTGAGGTGCACTCGGACAAAGGACACCCACTGTCCGCAGGGCTCTGGGCTGGCAGCACCCTCCCCTCTCCGAGGGTGACGTGGACATCCCCGGGGGGACGCCCTCTGCAAGGCACAGAGCACGCGGCAGCCCCGAGCTGGCGACGTTTGCACCTCCACAGCCAAACGCAGCCCACGGGCACAGCACCCTTCCCAAATCCACGCGTTCCTCCCCGCGAGCACATCCCTCACAGCGGCAAACGGCAAAGCTCTCCTGCCGAGAGCAGGTAAATGCAGCTAAAATACAGGGGCGAAGAGAATAACTCTTGTCCTCCTACTCCAGGCTATAAAATGCCGCGGTCCTAAACTTGACTGACCTGGCCATCGCTTACTTCTCTCCTGGGTATTCGGGAGCAGGCAGGGAACAGGCATTTTCACACCCCGCGCTGTATATGTGCAATATTTATTGCCGGCCAGGGCTGATGGATGGCTCGTTCTCACCGCCCATGAGCATTGCTTTCCTCTCCTGCTCCAGTTGCTTCAAGGGCAAATAATTCTCTGGGCTCAGCCTGAAAAGCTCCAGTCCAAGCGTCATTTTTCCCTGGTTTGTTGTTAAAGGATGTGCAAAACCATTTCAAGTGACAGAGCAATTTCCTATGTGTCCTGCAAAGCAAAAGGAAAAAAAAAAGTCGGTGTATTACACACAAATCTGCTTTTCTTTTGCAAATTTAAATAGTAACAGCTTAATATTCAGCAAAGCCACCGCTGTAGTGATTCCAAATCAAAGGCTCAGTGTCAAAGCAATCATTTTGATACAGCCGCCAAATAATGAGCAATTTATGTAGCGTTTTGAGATTAGATTAAAAATGAACCACAAATCAACACCTCTTCCAGCCAGTGTTTGTAGGTCAGACTTCAAAGGCCGGAGGCGCTGATGATGCTAAGCAGGGCTGGAGTCCTGGCACAGGTGCTGGGTGACCTTCAGGGTGTCCCTCCCTGGTGACCCTGGGCGAGCAGGGGGTCCCCTTATCTGCAGCCCCCACACCCTTGCAGGCGCTGGCACGTCCCCCCCAGCACCCTGTGCTGCAGGGAAGGAGCAGAGAGGCGGCCGAGCCGCAATGCTGCGATGCTCTTCCTGCTCGTCCGTCTTCCTTCACCCCCCCGAGCCGTGTCCTGAGCTGTCTCACAGCCCCGTACCCCACATTTCCCATCCCTCCCAGGGCACGGACCCGCTCTGCCCCCCCTGTCATGGGAGCTGCCTGCCCAGGGCTGCAGGAGCCCGGCGTTCCCACCCCATCGGCGCTGCCGCTGCGCTGAAGTTTAATCAGATTATACCTGCTCGCCCAGCTCGTTTGGACAATTAACTCAGCGAGTCCTACCAACAGCACACACACAGAGAAATTCCTCGCAGTGAGCAGCACCGTGGCTGCTCTCCCCCACCCTGGGCGCTGACCCCCCTGTGCCGTGTCCCCCCCCGCTGCAGCCCCTGTCCTGGTCACCCCCACATCCATCACGGCCCTGGCTGGGGGTCCCCAGGCTTCGCCCCCGCCCGCGAGCACCCGGCGCTGTCAGGGGGGGTGGGGGGGGGCTGCAGGCAGGCACTGATTTGTTCGCGGTTGAGCTGCATATTTTTTTTTTTTTTCCAGCTGATTTATTTCTCTGGAGGCTCCAAAAGCATCACCCGACCCCGGGGCCACTGGTCTTGGTTTAATTTCTGAAGCAGTTGCCGGCGGGGCGGGCACTCGGGATCCGAGTCAATGTGCCATCAGCGCGGGGTGTAGTTGAGCACAAGAGCTCCTTCGAGCTGCAGCAGCGTCCAGGTGATCCCAGGGGGGGGTTTCCTCCCCGTCCCGTCTCTGAAGCCGGGTCTCACTGACAGCCCTCAGGCCAGCCAGCACCAATCCTGCTCCCACCGGCATCGCACACCAAGGCAGGAGACAGGCAGAACCCCCTGCCCACGCAGACACCTTCCCTCCGCAGCCCATCCCGCGGTGCCTCCCCCGAGCAGGGTGGTTCGGGGCGGGGGGGGTGAGGACAGGTTCACCATCACTCAGGCCCAGAATTTTGTTCGGGAAATGTTCCCATTCCTGCCCAGCTCAGCCGGTTCTGCTTTGTAAGATTTTTTTCCCTGAACTGTTTGTTCAAATATATTATTAAAAAAACTCCAGACAAGTTGGAAAGGCAGACCATGAAGATATCTCTTCCAAACCACACAATCTGTGATTTTTTCTTTTTTCATCTGAAAGCACAGAAGGGAGTACAGGATTTTTGTAAACTACTTTTTTTTTTTTTTTTCCTTTCAGTTGCATACTTTATGCAGAGAGAACTGGGGAGAAAATGTCTCTCACTTAATTTGTGAAATTGCAGGGACTGCAATGATGGCACAGCACACTGCAGTTTGATGGTTTCAAAGGGAAAAAAAAAAAAAAAAAGTGAACAACTTTAAAAAGCCCCAAGCCATACACTTGCTTTCTTACTGGGGTTGCTCTGAGCGAGCTGGCCGTGCTCACAGCAAGTGCTGCTAACAGCCAGCTCTGGGAATGTGCTGTGGGGTGAAAGCTGGCCCCTCGCTTCCCAAAGCGGAGCACGTGTCTGGATAAACAGCTGAAATAAATCCTTTTTTTTTTGCACGTGCAACGGCATGAATCTGAACCCGACCCCAGGAGGTGCCCACCGCTGCCCAAAGAGGTGTGAAATCTATCCGGGGAGCAAGATGAGCTGCAAAGAACCAGGCACGGGGGGGGGGGGCCCAGCCCCGCGGCGATGCTCAGCCCCCGGCCACCCACCCGCCCCGGGCATCGAGCACCGCGTCACCTCCCCGGCACCGGCACCCGCACCGCGCTGCGGCGGGCAGCGCCGGCAACCCAGCGTGCCAGACGACAGCTCTGCCAGCCAGGAAAGGGCAGGATCCGACCCCCCAGCAAACACACACACCCGGCTGCGGTGCGTGGCCGGTTGTGTGCCGGCGTGGTGGTGCTGGGCCATGCAAGAACCACCAACTGCACTGCTTTTTTTGCTTCCGGAAATAGCAGAATCGTTACAGAGGCTGATTTGAAACTAATCAATTTCTTCGTTCGCTGTCTTCTTGCACGAGTTGGACTCTGCAAAAGAGAGACCTGGGAGCGCAGGGAATGTCACCTTGTGCAGAGCTGCCTCCGGCAGCGCGGGGCTGGCTGGGAGCGAGGAATCGCTGGGAATTGCCGAGGGCCGATGGGCAGCCGAGCAAACTGCTGATGTGAACCCACGTCCGGAGGTTTTTGCATTTATCTGCGGCAAGGAAAATGCCTCTTGCTGCAAGGCTTTGGTTTAAATTAGAAACGAAGGCGAAGAATCCAAAAGGCAAAATGAAATGCTGAAAACTGCCCAGTTTGCCTTTTCAGGCTGCGCTGCGGCAGCCCCGGAGGGTCCAACGAGGTTGTGCACATGGGTGCAAATTTTCCAGTTGAACAAATTACTTAGAAATCACTGATGGAAAGGAGAAATTTGTTCATGTACCTGTATAATTTTGCTACAAACCTCTGACAAATAAGTTTGGATCTTTTCTCGGAAAGGAGGTTGAGGCTGAAAAAAGAGCTTTTCGGGAGCGCAGAGCGATGGAGGGTCTCAGGTGAGAAGCCCTTGGCCATGGGGGCTGGCGGGGGGAGCGCCCAGCTCTGCACCACGTTGCATCCACAGACCTGCTCTTGCTGCGGGGAAGGAAAGACAAGAAGAGGCTTGTGTCAAAGAAGCAAATATTTTATTGTGTAAAATCCAAGCAGCCATCCGAATACAGCCTCCCATTGCCACCCGCACCGCAGCGTTGCCTTGCATGTCCCCAGGAGGCAGGAGCTGTAAAACCACGTACAGGTCTGTCTGCAAGTATCTACAGAATTATAAAGCTTCAGGGAAAGTGTCAGCCCCTGGAAACTAAAAAAATAAAAGCATATAGGGAGAGATGTTCTGGAAGGAGCTGCTGGGTTTGCCCGACCCGCCAGCTCCGCTGTTGCTGGGTGTCACACCAAGACCCAAAAGCATCCTTCAGCTGCTCGGCTGATTTTTGAGCAGCACTATGTGGGATGAGACATCCGGGCTGCACCTTTTGAGTTAAAAAGGTTTGGTGTTCCTCCAGGTCTTCACAGCGTGGCCTTCCCCTGACCAGCGTGGCATGTTATCAGGCATCTGTGGCAGCCGCTGGGTTTTAATTACAGCACCAACTCCTGAGTCAAACGACTGCAGGAGAACAAGAAAGTCCCTTGTCCCTGCGGCTGGCCCTGAGCAAAGCTGCGGTGATGGGAAACAGGGCAGGAGCTTAAAGAAACCACGGTATGTTTAAAACAAAACAAAACAAAAAAGTCTCATCGTCTGTAAAACCATCCCGTGACTTTTGGGGAGCCACTCGCAGTCTCTGTTTAACTGACACGTTTCCTATCGGGTGCTCTTCCGAGGGAGCGGGGAAGCAGATTGCCCGGTCGCGGCTCCTCGCTCCGTGCAGCGCTGAGGCCACTTGCTGCCATTTATTGAAACAAATTCTGGAGAAAGTGGGACGTTTCATTATGCAAATTGTGCTTCCTGGAAAGAAATGTTTTATTAACATCCGCTCCCTTCTTGTGTTGGCTTAGTCAATTTGGTCACAGCTTGACATCCAATAAGTTAGTCTAAAGGCAATGGTTTTACAAAATGTTTTTTGTAATCTATTTTAAACACTTAATTACAGTTGCGGCACATTCATTAAGGACTTTGCTTTCAAACCTGGATTGCAGCAACAAATCCTAATTCTCAAAGTGTTGGTTGCAATGCAGACACTGGATCCAAGTGGCTGTCAGAGGCAGTTGCTAACTGGGGGAAGCTGGCCTGACCTAGGCGGGACCCCGCTCCTCCGGAGGGGGTGACCCCCTCAAATCCAGCCAAAGCAAATTCCAAATTAATCGAACAAGCTGGGGCACTGGGAGGAGCACTCAGGGGGCTCGGGAGGATGTGTCTGCTGGGTGGCGTGGTAGGAGCTGGGGGATGCTATTTTTGGGAAACCAGGAGGCTGAGGGACCCCAGTGGACTCAGAGCTGGCGGTGTGACCAGCTCTGGGGCTGTCCCCAGCACCGTCCCCATTGCCCACCCCCCTGCAGCTCCGAAGGGGGCAAGGAGAGGGCGAGGGGGGGGCTGGTCCCCTATGCTGCATGTCCCACGGGGCGTCCCCGGCCCCGTCCCAGCTGCTGTGGAACGGGGAGCACAGCCGGGTGTTGAGGCTGAAGCTGGGCCAGTGCCTCCCCTGCCTGGGGCTGCTGCTGTGTGCCGGGGGGGAGCGTGGGGAGCAACGCTGGCCCCGGACACCCTGTCCCCACGCACTCCACGGCATCGGTGCAGGCACCCGCGTGGGCTGGAGGGGCAGCGGCTCGGGGCCAGCACCGCAAACCTTCCACCGCTGCTCTGAGCCAGTGCCGGTCACCTGAGCCCGGTTACCTTAGTCTTTTCCCAGATATTTCCTCATGATGCTGTTGACATCGTCTTCCTTCCCTTCTGCCTCTGCCCGGCGGTTTGCCCCGCCGCTCTGGGTGCCGGCTTTGCTGCTGCACCCCTCCCCGTCCCCTCTCTGGGGCTGCGGCCGGCGCTTGATGCTGTCAGCGCTCCGGGAGGAGAGGAGCGAGCCAGAGGATGAGGAGGAGTCGGAGAGGTCCCCGGCGTCCTCCCGGGGGACTGGACTGCGCTTGGCAGTGCCCTTCGTCTCGGAGGATGCCGAGCTGCCCGCTATGGCCTCATCCTCAAAGCGGACAGTGAGGGGCCGGTGGCCGTCCTTTCTGTCCCTCCCGGGCTTGGCCAGGCTGCTGGTGGAGCGGGATTTGCGAATGGCCGGGAGGAAGTCATCGAAGTCGACGTTGGTTCTCCTCTCGTAGTTGAGGGTGGGGATTCGCCAGCTGAAGGGGTCGCTCCCCTTCCCCTCACCCAGCCTGTCGCTGGCTGGCGAGCTCAGGAGCTCCCCAGAGCCCTTTCCCACCTCCACATCTTCCACCGACGGTTCCAGGTAGCTTCTCCAAGAGCTCGGCCTCAGCGCACCCAGCACCTCCATCCCTGCAGCCGGAGAGCTCGGCCGGCGGCCGGAGCTGTCGAGGCGTTGCAGGAGGGAGTCGTAGGAGCCGAACTTTGAAGCTCTTTTCAGCGCTGGTGAGCGTGCCGGCTCGGCCGGCTCTGAGGCCATGCTCCGCAGGCTGGAGGAGCGCACGAGGCCAGCGCCTGCTCCTTCGCCTTCCCCCGGCCGATTCCCATCCAGCTTCCCCAGGGAATCCTCCGCCGCCAGGAAAGCCCTGCCGCGCCGCAGGGCTGCGGCACCCGTGGTGCGGTAAATGGGGAGGGGAGAGGTGTCACCCAGCGCCGGGTGCCCTTGCTCCCGCTCGGCTCCCCGCTGCCGCCGCAGCTCCTCCACGTACTCGGAGAGGGCGGCCGAGGAGCTGGGCACCGGCCCTGCCGCCGGAGAGAGCCCTCTCCTCCTCGGCACCGTCGGAGACAGCGGGCTGGGGAACCTCCCGTCCGGGGCAGGGGAGCCCCCCCGCCGCAGCGCCGAGGGGGACATCTCTCCTATCCTATCCACAAGCTTTTTTGGGCTCTCCACCTCCTCTTCATCTGCCGGAGGTTTTGCGTATTCCCATCTTTTAGCACTGAGCAAGGGACTCGGCATCGTCCCCAGATCCGCAGCATCAACAGGCCTGGCAGCGCTCCGGGAAGAAGCCAGCCGGCTCGGTGTTGGCTCCTTGGTGTCTCTGTTCACCCTAAAGAAGAGATATTGGTGTTAGTTTAAGCTGGGGGATTTCCAGTGACCGTAATGTCATCCAGTAAGGACAAGGCTGAGCAGCAAAAAGCTGGTATTGGCATGGTAGTCTCAGAATAAGCTCCCGCTGCTGCACTGAGCAGTTGGGCAATGCCCAAAGATTTTATCTTAAATAACTCTAGGTCGGCCAACCTGGCTAAATCCTTGGCGTAGGGGGGTGCGGCGTGAGTGACTTTAGCTCTGCCAAACCAACACATACCTCCAAATATCCTTTTTTCTTGACAGATTATAGCACTATGTAGGATTTATTTTATTGCTATCAAAGCCAAAGATTATTCAGTAAAGTTTTATGAAACGAGCTCACAGAACCCCCTGAATGAATTTTAATGTCACTGTGGGGTACATTTCGCCCAGGCTGCTGCTGGGGAGGGAGAACAGTTGTGAAATGCAAAAGGCAAATAACGCCTGATAACGCCCGTGGGGATGGGACCTCACCTGCAAACTGGGCTGATGCAGGAGCCCTGCAGGCTTCACCGCCGCTCGCCGAAGAGGAGCCACACCAGTCAGCGTCCCAGCCGGCCCCAGAACACGCAGCCCTCTCCCCACAAGCTGTTGCACAGTCTGCAGGGTCGGTTTAGCCAGAACGCGGTGCCAAATTTGGCCCGGCATCGGCTCAGCACGGGCAGCAAGTTGCTCTTGCTACCAGGATTGCAGCCGGTGCAGGCTGCGCATGTGGAGCAGCAGAAAGGGCAATAACAATAACAATAATTATAACAATAATTATTATAATATGGCATGCCCCTCTGTGCTGAGAGTGGCACGTGGCGGGTCTGTGGCGGCGACTGGCACGCGGTGCCAGCCTGCCAGGAGATGATGCCCAGGAGGAGCCTGGCTGGCCAGCTGGTTTTCCTGATTTAACTCCTGCTCCTCTCCACAGGGCTGCAAGAGCAGCTCTGGGGCCGCTGCGGTGACACCGTTCCCACCCCTGCACCGGCCACTCGCTGAGCAGGACAGGGACGTGGTGGCAGCGTGGCAGGAGCAGGGGATGGTCTTGCCTTCCTCCAAAGCCTGCCTGTCCCTCCCCAAGGCGTTGGATAGCACCGAGCACCCGCTCTGCCAGGACAGGAGCTTGGGGGGCATCTCCCTGGGCACCACGGGACGCCGATGCGGCGCCTGTTCTGCTGCCAAAGCCCCTCTCGGGTGGCCGGATCCTGGCACGTGTGGGCTGCAGAAAGGGTTTCTCTGCATCAAGTCCATCCCCTTCCTCGTGCAGCTGATTCATGGAGATGGGGAGAGGCTGCAGTCACCAGTGGGCTCAGTGTCACTGGTGACACTAAGCCCCCGGTGTGACACTTTACACACACACACCCCATCAAGCACCTACATTGCCTTGAAGGGCTTAAAAATGGGATTTTCTGCCCGTCCCACTGTAGGGAAAGGCAAAGGGTTTCTTTGCCAGGACAGAGCTGAATCAAAGCAGGGCTCTGCAGCGCTGCGCCGCATCTCTCCTCGCTACATCATCGCTCTACATCAGCGATAGCCAGTTACTATCTATAGGCTGCTGGCACGCAGCCGCTTGCCGGGGAGCGTAGGTGCCTGGGAGCATTTTGGCAAAGGCTGTGCCCGGTGCTGGCAGCTGCCAGCACTGCCGGCAGATTATCCCCACTCGCAGGTACCGGCATTGCTCGGCCAAGGGGGACCTGGAATGGGCCTTAATGAAAAGGCTGCCGGGCTGTGAATTTGTCTGAGGGAGAGGGGAGGGGGGAAAAATGAGAGCGAAGGGTAAAGAAGCAGAACCGAGACATAAATCCATCTCTGGGAGGGCAGCAGGCTTTGAGGTGAGGGAGCAGTGGTCAAGTTTTACATCTCCCGTCATGAAGCATCCTGCCCCGGGAATGCTGGTGTTGCCATGGGAACGGGGTGAGAGCAGATAATCCAGCCACCGCGCGGGACCTGTTCGGACCAGGCGCTGCTGACCCGTGAAATAATTTACATGCTGAAATGGGTTGAGGACAAACTCCACAGCTGGAAATGCAAGCGATTGCAGAAGTGCTGGGGCAGTGGAGCCGCTCCAGGTCCCCGGCGCCCGCCGGCACGGCCCGGAGGTGCTCGCCCAGCCCTGTGCCACATGCCCGCAGCTCATTAAGCCCAAACCGTTTGATTATTCAACGCAAAATGAATTAACTAGAGATTTAATGCCTCTGAAACACCACAACCTCCAGGGCTACCCCACACCACCGCACCTGACATTGCTGAAGCGTCGCAGCTGATTAATAGTTTGAGACACTTTGATGTGTTTAGGATCCTAAATTGCATCTTACCTAAACAGCTGGTATAATCCTTCCGTGAGAATTTGTATGGAAATTGCTGCAATCACTCTCTACGTTTCCAAATAATATTGTAAACTGGCTGCTGCATGACCGGCTTTCATAAATTAAACAGCCAGCTTCAATATTTTCCTTCGGTTTTTAAGGATGAGATAAAAGGGAGCTGGAGAGGTACGAAACACTAATGGACTGTGAACATGGACAGTTTACACGCCACTATTTATTGTCCTGTTCAGCATGACAGACAGTTACTATTTTTATGAAAACCTTTAGAGCCTGAAATGGAGGGAGAGCTGCAAACACGGGTTTGTTCCTCCAGCTCCCGTGGCTACCACCAGTCTGGCCGCCGAGGCCCCGCAGCCCGTGGGCTCCGACAGGCACCTCTGTGTAATGGAGCATCTCCCACCCACGCCCTCCACACCCCAGTTTTCAGCAGAATTGCTGAAGCCCAAGACCGCCCCATCCATCCTTGTCTCCCCCAGCAGTTCCCATTAGCTACATTCATTAAGTAAAACCCCACTGCACGTGCCAGGGAAGGGGCTGGTTCCCCCGGGGAAGCCGCATCTCTCCGGACACGGCTCCTCAGCCCATGGTAGGGGTGTGAGGTGCCAGTGGGGCAGTGCCAGGGTTGTGGCCTGGTGACTCCGAGCAGCATCAGCTGGGTTTTAAATGAAAACGCAAATACTCCTCAGGGTTTACACTAGCAGCAAAAAGGCACCGCACAGTGGGGGAAACACTGTAGGGATTTTTCTGCTTTTGATGCTTTTCCTCTTGTTTTCCAGCATCTAAAATGCTCAGGTCCTCCTAGCAAAACCTGCTATTGCTTCCGCTCCTAGAAAGCCAAAACCTGCTTTCCCCAGCCCTGGAGACCCTCCCATGGTGGCTCTGAGCTGCCGCCCACCCCAGCACCAGCCACCACCGCGGCGTGCCCCAGCACGTGTGAGGGCAGCAGCCCCTGCTCGGCTGCACCGAAATCACACCTCCATTTCAATTAATTACCATCTGCAAAGGGAGTCTGAGGTCCACAAAGTAATTTCTGCCATGCAACAGGTCTCTGATGGAACAAGCCCAGAGACCGGAGCTGGTGGTGCCATGGCCGGGGAGTCTGGGCTGTTATCCCCTGTCACCGGTCAAGCTGTGCCACTGCGGCTGCACCCCACACCACTGTACCAGCACCCCATCCTCATCCTTTGTTCCTTTAACCCTATCCTGACAGCTTCCAAAAAAACCCACCTCAAAATCACAGCTTCACTGGATGGTTTGGGTTGGAAGGGACCTTAAAGCCCCCCCAGTGCCACACCCTGCCCCGGGCAGGGCCCCCTTCCCCCAGCCCAGGGTGCTCCCAGCCCCGTCCAACCTGGCCTTGAACCCTTCCAGGGAGGGGGCAGCCACAGCTGCTCTGGGCACCCTGGGCCAGCGCCTCACCCCCCGCACAGGGAAGAATTTCTGCCTTAGATCTCATCTAAATCTGCCCTCTGCCAGTTTAAAACCATCACCCCTCATCCTATCCCTACACTCCCTCAGTTATTCATGGCTAATCTCTTGGCCACACTCAAGCCTCTTCCCAAGGCAGGGCTTAAGTGCAAGACAGTCCCATCCCATCCTGCAGCATCCTCTGCTCATCCGTAAATCCCAGGCTAAGGGCTGATGTGCTGGCCATAACTCCCAGGGCTTAAAATAACCCTCGGGAGCCCCAGGGGTGGGTGATGCTGCCGGAGCCAGGACCGCGAGCATGCAACAGCCGCCCGGCAAAACTCCGCTCCTGGCCTCAGAGCATCAGAGAAGATGATTTTCCCCCAGCCAAAGGCAAAAGCAGGGCCTGATGCAGAACTCGGAAGGCATCTCTGTAAGCCAAACGGAGTTCTGCAATATGCCATTCACACCAAAGCAAATGACATACAACAATAATTAGTGAAGATTACATAGCAATTAACATGATTACAATTATGCTAGTTGAAATAATTTATACAATAAAATCCACACATGCATTACAACACATGACCAGGGATGAAAGTGTGGCTCAGATGCTTTTCCTGGTAGCTCATAAATAAAGCCAAGACAACTCCATTTCATGGAGAGAAAAGAGACTGGCCTAATTTCTGTCAGAAGAAGATTTTCTTGTCACGCCGTCATCTACAGAACAGCTCCCAGTTTCCCATATAATGATTTACTTTTGACACGATAGTGTTTAAAAATAAACGTGTCGGATCCCCAGCAGCCTTGGGACCCAGGCTCCTGATTTGGTGAACCGAAGCAGAAGGGGACAGGACGCTGGGGAGGTGGCGGGGCCGCGGATGCTGCGGGGCCACGGGATGCAGAACCCAGAGGCAGGGCCCTGTGCCGCAGGTCCATTCCCTGCCTGCCCCCCAGGATCGGGCCCTCGATCGCCACGCGACCCCGACCTGCCTGGCGAGGGGCAGAGCAAATACATAAAGTTCTGAATCGGCTTCCTAAGAAAAAAACTGATAGTCTATTCCAACCCTGCAACGTGCTGTATTTATTGAGGCTTAGCCCTGCTGGCCAACATTTTGCACAAGCATTTAAATAGCAAAGAATTAAAGAAAACGTTAATCAAATCTCTCATTCCTGTACACTACACTGATGATAATAGCTTTCTATGCTTTCCTCTGGCTCTTGGCAGCTGTTTGTTCAGCAAATATCCCATATGTAGCACGGAGAAGCGAATGCTAGGAAGATTCATTTTTCATTACTGGGTGCTTGTGTAAGACAAAGGAATCTTAATAAGGAAGAGCTCGTTTCTCTGATCTCATTTTTATTACCTTACCAGTCTCATCGTCTGCTTGTTTGCATTTCGTATAGCCTCCTCTCTAGCATTTCCATCTTAGATTAGCTGAAGCCAACCGCAGCTACGGCGCCAGGATTTGTAATCTGCCTCTTCATGACCCCCAGGACGGGGCAGATTGTCACACCATTTCCAGGTCCAGCTACAAATCACCTCTCACAATGGCCACAGCCAGTCCAGCCTACATACCTGCCCTGTTATTATAAATCCAGCACATTTCAGTTCAGAAGTATGATATTAGCCAAAACTCCTGATTTGCTGCTGTTCATTTACGATCGAGTCATTTGGGCAGAAGACTCCTAAGCAGAATTTAGGAGTTACTTTACTGGTGGGTGCTGGGGTGGTGTGGGGGGTCCCTGCGAGCTCGGCCGGCTGCTCTCGGGGCTCCCACCCAGCACATCCCTGCGGGTCCCAGCCCTGTCTCACTGCTCTCAAACTGCCTCGTACCAGCAGCACATCGCTTCAGACTGCGCCAGCACACCCGAGCCGTCCGCTCCCGGGGGACTTGCTCTTCAGAAAATTAATTCTGGCAATAGTTATTTTGCTGTACAAAGCAGGTGAATGGAGTGGGGACAGATCTTGCCAGAAGCAGAGCAGGGAGCTTTAATACTAATGTCTGCAATGAAATGGCAGTCTGAAAACCCGGCCAAACTATCGGCACGGAGCATCTGCCTATGGACAGGGGCAGGAGGGGATCCGGGGAGGAATCGGTGAAAAAGCTGGGAAAATAGTGATGTATGGCCCAATACACCATCCCCGGGAAATCAGCACGGTGGGGAGGCCCCGAGTCAGGGGTGCTGCCAGCCCTGCCCGCACTGAATTCGGCTGGTCAGCCTTTCCTCCCGCTGGCACCACTGGCTGCCACCTCACCCCACTGCAATCAGGGCTGCGAATCACGCGTTATGCAGGGAAGTGTGCTTTTCTTCCTTACAAAGCTATTGCTCTGCAGATCTTTGCATGCAAAATAGAGAAGCCACCTTCCCTAGGTGGGGATGATGCTCTCTGGAGCCGCTTTGGCCCCAGGACTCACAGCTCCATCTCGGCTCTCCCAAGCCTCCGAGGAGACCTGGCACCCTTCCCTGTCCCCACCACCCCCCTTCTGAGACGCAGCCACCAGACCCTGATTGAAAGGACTTTTCAAAACACAATCCCTGCAATTGCTTCGCACGTGAAACACAAAGAACCAGTTTCTCTGCGCCCCTGAGGAGCTGTAAAACAGGGGGTTTGTCTCTGGGCAAGAGGGTCCCTCCGATGGGCACCCGGGCAAGGCGGCCCCAATTTGGGCTGGCCGAGCACCCCGGGGCAGCCCCACGAGACCCACGCCAAGGTGGTTTGCCCATGCGAATGCTTGGGCCACTCTCCAGCTCCCTCACAGCCCATTAGCATTACCGTCAAAAATTAACATATTTTATATTAAAACTGTATAAATGCATACTGTTTCCTCAGCAGCGAAAGGCAAGCATATGGCACACAAATCCTCAAATAGGCTGCATCGCCTCTTTAAATAATCTCTAGAGAATACATCAAGGGATATTATACTGCTTGAAGCATGTTTTTGATGTAGCGACTTTCATCTAGTGTTTCACTGATCCTGGCGTGGCAGCAACTACCTTCCTTAATTTGATGCTTTGACCTTAAATACCACGGGTGCCCCCGAGCCCCTTTCTGCACATCCTGAAAGGAGCCCAACCGAAGCTCCCGCTGTCCCTGGGCCAGCATCTGCAACGCCCCCCCCCCCCCCCCCCCCCCCAATGAGCCCTGGGGCTTCCCCGTCCCCAATCAGCCACAGGCATTGCGGAGGTGCCACTGCGGTCCCCCTCGCTGGGAACCAGCACCGTAAAGGGTGATTTTATTTTTTTTTTTTCCATAGGAAAATAAAAGCCAAAAAGAGCAGGTGGGAGCCCCTGAGGGTGCACAGTGGTTTAGGCTGCTCAGCTCTGCTGAGGGAGTTATGGGGTCCATCCTCCGCGTGTGTCCCCCGGTTCGAGGGGCCACAGGCTCTGCACGGGCAGCTGCTGGGGCTGACAGCTCTGCTTGCCATCCTTGCCACCCCCCTGTGCCCGAACGCTGGGAAACCAGTCCTGCCTGCAGCCTCCTGACTCTTGCATGGTTTTTTTCTTTCTTTTTTTTTTTTTTTTTTTTAATAAAAATACAGGAGGCATTAAAATATATTTGTGATGGCTTGCTGCTGCAAGATAATTTTCTACCCTCTGCACATCTGCAAGATGCTGGAGCTGGCACCAAGCACCTGCGGTTTCCCTGACGGAAAACTGTGGTGGGTGCCCGTGCCGGGGGGAGCAGCCACGTGTCTGTCACTGCGGGAGGTGGCTGTGCCCGGAATGGGCTGGGGGGGGGGGGGTCCCTTACCTCGGGCCCTGGGTGCTGCGGCTCCCAACGGACTGCACCGAGAGGCTCCCGGCCATGCTGGTACCCGCCGGGGAAGACCAGCCCGCGGACGATCCCGGCCAGGACTTGATGCTCTCTGCAGGCTCCAGGCTGAGCGCGGAGCCGACGCTGGAGCAGGCGTCCCTGCGAGGACAGATCAGACCCCCGTTAGCTCCGCCAGCGCAGGGCTCCAGGGGCGTGGGGGAGGCTGAGACCGGGGGCTCCTCCGCAGCTCCAGCAACGGCAGCTCCGGCCGGCGGGCTCTGCTCCGGCTGTTTCGTGGCACCAGCACAGATCAGCTAAAACAAACCTTTCCAGGCAGCCTGATCCTTGTGCCATAGCTGCTGCCATTAACTATTTCCTCAGGCTTTTGTAGACAGGGGACAAGAAAGGAAAGCCTCGCTGCTTCTTGCAGTGCCCCAGGATCGGAGCTGCAGTGATAGAGCCAGTGTGACCCTGGGTACCCCACTGTGCCCTCCGCACCCTTGGGCTCCCCCAGGGCCAGAGTTACTCCTGCCCACCCGCCAGTAACCCCCAGACCAGTGGATGAAATCCTTTAGGATCTCAGTTTTCCTTCAAAGCCACAGAGCAGCTTCATATTCTCAAATCTCAGCCCAGAGGAGTTGAGCATCCCGCTGGTTTAACAGGCAGAGCTCGCAGGGGAAGCGAGCAGGGCAGTGGGCACGGGGGCACGCAGAGCCCGTGCGGCTGGTGGCCCGTAACCCATCGTACAAGCCAGTTCAGGCTCCGAGCTGTGGACCACCAGCTCCCCAGGGCTCACTCACGTCTCTCTCCTGGAGCAGAGCGACTCCCGCGCCGTCGACACGCTGTGAGGGGCAAAATGAGAGAATCAGCCCGGTGCTGCCGACGGCTCACACGGCCTCCCCGCAGCCACCGCGCCAGCCCGAGGTGAAAAACTTCCCAGACCAATTGCACTGGTCAGGCCCCGGGTTGCAGAAGGGACCCCCCGTGCATGCACCCCCCTCGCAGCAATCGGTGCCGCTGCAGCGTACGTTGCATTTGCACTCGCCAACAGCTCTGGGTGCCCACGCTGGCGAAGGACAGGGAGCAAAATACACCGCTTTTCCTGCACACAGCAGCCACGGCCGGCCCTGCCGGGAAGCACTTCTCACCTCCCGCTAAAGTGTCAATTGTATTGGAAATCGCTTTTGGTTTAGGAAGGAGAGAATTTCTGAGCTCACGGTTTCTATCTCACCCTTCCCTGGTTTAATACTCTGCATAAAGAAAATCTCTTCTCACGGCATGGTGACAAGCACATCTCTGCTTTTTTTTATAAATGCATTTATCCGTTTTGTCTGCATTTGTCACGATGCCCCTTTAGCAGTGTAGCAGAGGGGAAAATTGGAGAGCTGTAGAAAATTGGAGAGCTGTAGAAAATTGGAGAGCTGTAGAAAATTCACTGGAATTTTTTTCCCATTTTTTCCTAGTAAATTCCTCCACCCAACCTGCCCAGCTTCACTGGTTCCTCGAGCCCCCCTGCTCCTGTGGCTGATCGAATTGCAGTGTTTCCAACCAACAAACCCAGCACTGGGGCACCCTCTGAGGCACGGCAGCACGCTGCGCTGCCGGGGACGGGAGCTTGCTCTGCCAGTGGGGCTATTTCCACCCTTTTTGCTTGCTTTAAGCTGGGCCTCACAGTACGATTTTAAGGGTGACACTTTTCCGTTAAAGATTCCGTGAACATGAAGCTCCTCGTTCGTGAACACAGGCTGCCACAGTGAAAATGCACGAGGATGCGGGCGTGCAGCCACAGCCACCCCGGCATCGCCCTTGCGTGGCGCAGCATCCTTCCCCACCCCAAATCACCCCCGAGCCTGCCTCTCTGCAGCCTCCCCCCCCCCAAAAAACTCCCCTCCTCACCTCTCGGCATCGCTCTCGTCGCTGGAGCGCAGCTCTTCCAGGGCCACCTGCAGATCAGCGATGCGCCGGATGGAAGTGCCCAGGTCAGCCTGCAAGACCTGCCGCACCGCCGCCAGCTCCGCCAGCTGCTGCTCCTGCGCAGACAGCACCCGGTTAGCCCCGGCACCCCGACACAGCACCCCCAATTTGCAGAGGAGGGGGCATCTGCTGGAACTCCCCCCCCCTCCCTCTCCCAGCCCAGGGCTCCCTGTGCCCTGCCAGGGCTCGCTACCTGCCGCTGCACCCTGCCGCGCGCGCACACGCTGGCTTGTAAAATGCAAAACACCATCTTGCGCGAGGAGCAAACCGAAGGTGAACCCCTCCGTGAGCAACCAGCACCCCCCCACAACAGAAAAAGGCTCAGAGGAGAGGAGCCAAAAGTCCTGATTGCAGGGCGGGACATAAGGAGCCACCGGCAACTACTGTGTAGAAACTGAACTTAACTCCGGGGAGGGGAGGGTGACCTTGGTTTTAGGCACATGGCAGTACCAGGGCATCATCAGGGTGTATAGACAGCCTTCCTGGAGATAATTAACAGAGAGTAATGTCTTCCTGAGCCAGCCAGCCATGGGGGAAGCATATATAAGGTTCAGCCCAACATAGAGTATAAAACCTGGACAATTGGGGTGCTCCTGGGTGTTTTGGGGCTGCTCCCCCACTCACACCTACCACGCACGAGCTTGGGAACAAAGCCCTTCTCAGAAACTCTGGAGCTGATAAAAAAAAAAAAAAAACAAAAAAAAACAACAAAAAAAAACCAAAAAAAAAAAAAAAAAAAAACAGAAACTCAATTCCTAATTTAAACCACGGGGACAAAAAACTGAATGAAAGGCACAACCTGGATGGCTCCGTGGGCCCAGCATTGCCCACAGCCGGGCGGCTTCGCGACGCTCCGGGGATGCTGACCCAGCACCACCAGCTGAGCACCCCCATGCCCATCGGATTCCAAGTCCTCTCAGCTAGGAAGGGAATCTTTGTGCTGTTTTCTAAACCATCACACAGCAGAAAGAGAAGGCGAGTGAGCGCGAGCTGCAAATTCCCCGTGATTGAGGCTGCCAGCTGTAAAATTGCCATCTCGGTGGTGACAAGGTGAGAGATGATTTGCGGCGCGGGCTGCGACAGGCCACGGCACAGGAGCTGGCAGACTGTCAGAGTAAATAATGAAAGCCCTGGGATCACTGGGTGCGCCGGCCCGAGGGGAAGAGCATTTCAGTTCATAAAAACACGCAAGGAAATATCCCAGTTTGGGTTGCACAGCATCACCGTTGCTTCTGGAAATGAGCTGGTATTGGTAAAAAACCTGAACGCTGCCAAGAAGCTTTCTGAAACGCAGTGTTTCCAAGTCCTTTCCTTCCCTCCTCTTTTGGGCAAAGGAAGAGGATGGAAAGGACCCATTTCAGTGTGGAAACTGCTCTGGATTGTGTGGGGACAGCCCGCTGCACTCCCCACGCCAAGGTCGGCCCCATGAGCAGCCGGGGGCTTGGGAGGAGGCACACGGTGAAATCCTGATCCTTGAGAGGAGAAAAGCCCCAGGGGAGAAAACCCCAAGCTTCGGCTGGCTACGTGCCTGTATTCAGCTATTTGCAACCGCAAGACCAGGCAGTAAAACAACTGCTAGATAAAAAGCTCAACCCTTCAAACCGGCTGATAAGAGTCTCTATTGAACTAGTTCCTCAGCTCCAGGATACGGCACAAATTAAATATAGTTCAGTGGCTGCATTTAATTCCTTCCCTCCGTTCTGCTATTATTAACCTGACAGTGACTGGCAGGGAGGCAGCCAGGCACGCAGCAGCACGCACCCCTCCCGGCACCCCAGCCCCGCTGCCCCTGCCTGCTGATGAACAAAATCCCCCCCGGGTGCAGCTGCGAGAGCAGCAAATGGCCTGTGCCGGTGCTTGGTGGGGTCCCCCCCGGCTGGTGGGGTCCCCCCTGGCCCCGCATGACACCTGTGGGCACGCAGCAAGGAGAGGAACGACCGCGGGGCTGATGCTGCTGAGCGGGGGCTCCAGCCCGGCTCCCCCCGGGGATGCCCCAGTCCTTGGGCACCCACGGTCCCTGGGCACCCACGCTGCGTGGCAGGGAGGAGCTGGTGGCCTCAGGACGGGGCTGCGCAGGGCACCGGGGTGACTCTGGGGACTGCACAGCCACGGGTAACCTTGGGGACCCCTGTCCACATACCACCCAAGTGGCAATTTGAACGTAAGCCTGAAAATACCTGTTTCTTAATAAGAGTTCATGGCTCAAGCACAATGTTGCTAAAGCAAACTCTTCCAGCAGCCGTACTCTCACCACCGCAGTCAGCCCAGGTCCCCGGGCTGGCAGGATGCAGAGGAAACCTCCAGGCACACCCAGAGACTAATCTGGGGCCGTACGTGCTCGCTCGCTGCCCAACCACTTGCACGAGCCCATGCAGAAAGTGAATTTTAGCTCTTGAGGCTCAGGCATTCCTGTAAAGTGAATTCTGGTGATATAAATCTGCAGCAAGATGTGGGGAAGAGAAACGGTGCCGCTTGATTTCTGTGCCCTCCCTTTCAGCTTGGGCTCAGCACATCCACAGCTCGCGAGGATGCTGCAGCCAGCGAGGAGGAGGAGGAGCCACAGGAAATGCCCCAAGTAATTGGGCTGCTCAGCATTTTGGGCTCAAATCAGTGCAAAATAGGAAGGCGCATGTTTATGGAGCCACCGAGCAGCTGTGTCGATCAGCTCTGTGCTCACGACGACAGGCTGTGAACCCCACGTCCCACCCGTCCCAGTGCTCGATCCTGGATCTTGTGCATGGAGGCACCTTACGTTTTACTCTGTACCATACAATTGTCTGAAGGAAGGGAGTAATTATGTCACTATAATTAAATTTCAAACGCAAAAAACTATCTTCATAATATAAACTAAGAAGAATGGTCCCAGCATCAGGTCACAGTTATCCCAGGGAGCTATTAGATACCTTTGATGCACGTTGTTTCAATCTAAATGTAAATGTAAGCATTTCCCTTTTAATACGGTAACTGGTCTGAGCATTTACATCCCCACTCAGGATGAACTGCCGTGTGGCTGGGGTTTTGTTTTCTCTGAGCAGAAAAAGGGGGGAAAAAAATCAGGGTCAAGATATTTACTAAGAAAACTCGCATCCCGGCTGCTCACGTGGCTCTGCTGAAGCAGGGGGATGATGCTGCAGGGAGCGGAGCGAGCCGTGGGGCACCGTGTCCGTGCCCTCTGCCCATCCCGCTGGACCCCAGGGGTAAGCCCGTCCTCCCCCACCCCGAGGGGCTTCCATCCAGGAGCCGAGAGAACCACCCGGCTGCAGAGGCACCAGCACTGCTGCACCCCACCAGCCTCGGCACGGCCTCACCTGAGCGCAGAGGGACCTGCTCCCCCTCTCCCTGCATGCTGTGGCTCGGTGGCCACAGCTGGAGCTAGCCGGCCACTGCCCTTCCCCACGTGTGAGAAACCACACACGATGCCGACCGAGAGGCTGCTGCTGGGGACCGGTGTGACGCACCGCGCTGCGGCCGGACCTGGGGGGATGAGAGGTGACTTGCACATCATTTTGCCTCCATTATTCATCGTTAATTGCCCATTATTGGAGGCTCACCCCCCCCCCCCCCCTCCCGGTGCTCTGGCTGGCACTGATGATGATGGGGAACCCAGACGGCAGTTGGGGGGGGCTGCAATCAGAGGAGCCGCGCTGATGAAGGGGGTTTGTAAAGCAAAGGCTGCCAGGGGAATCAGCCTTTTCCACCTAATCAGGGAGGGGGCGAAGGCTGGAGCAGCTGCCCTCACTCTGCACAACGCCTGGGGAGAAAGGCAGCAATTTTCCAACTGTTCATGAGATTTCTTCTGCTGCAACTCGAGCCGCCGCAGGGGGATGATACGCGTTGCACGGCAAACTGGTCCACGGCGGGATTCCATCCCCAGCCACGCACACACCCCTCAGCCTGGCTGCTCTTGTCCGCCCACGGCCCACCCGAAACAGCGCTGGGGCTGCCCTGTGGAAGCCCAGTGCCTCCCCAAAAATGTGTTCTGCAGAGCTGGGGAGCGGGGGGAGCTGCTTACTCAGGGTGGGAACCCCAGAGCCGCCGGGCTGGGGCCAGCGCTGGAGCTGCTGAGCAGGAAAGGTCCAGGCGTGGGGCTGCGCTGCCAAAGGGTCCCCCCAGCCTTTGGAAACACGCTCCCTCCTCCTCTCACAGAGAAACACAGATCATCACCTCCTGCCTTGCAAAGCTGCAAATACCAGACTTGCAAAGAGCCCCAGCGCTCCTGAAAGGAGCTACAGCTACTGCCACAAGCCAGAGACAGTGAAGCAGAACGAACGGCCCTTCGCTTCACGCGTACACTGATTTCTCACTGAAAAGCTCCACTCATTTCTCTCCTGCCTTGCAGCAGTTTGGAGCAGCCCTACCATGTCCATCCTGCTGACCAGCAAGGAACCTGCCCACGCACCCGGCTGCTGCACAGGGAGAGATGGGGACGTGGCACCAGCTGAGAGGTTTTCCAGCTTCCCAAAGTGGGGCTGAGATGCTTCTGCTACCCAGGCTCAGGGGACTCTTGTGTCATTAAACCCCAAGCCCTGTGGGCACCGGCAGATCTGGCTCCTTCCACCAAACCAGCCAGGCACACACGGCCAAAACCAGCCTGACCAGCTCAGGAACCCTGCTGATGTATATTTTATAATCAATAAATAAAATATATGTTCTGCCTGGTCTTGCATACATTTCCAAATTCAATCCTCCCATTCCCAGCGTAACGGCGGACAGATCAGCCCAGAGCATGGCACTCCCAAAACCCGACGGCGCCGGTCTGCTGGCAGGTCAAAAGCATTTCTTTTAGAAAGCTGAGGTTACTTTCTGCTGACAGGGAACCTGAGTTGAAGGCTCTCTCAAGACAAAGGGGATGGGAGCGTGCTCGGGGATGGTCAGCACGTAGCAAACCCATGTCAAGATGCTGGTGTTCACAGCCCAGACCCCTGCCCTCGCCGGGGGTACTCGCAGGAGGATGCTGCCCCACATCCGTGCTGGAAAGACCCTGATGACAAAAGTTACACTGCAAAAAAATGAATTTCTACTGGAGGTGTCCCAGCCGAGGGCTCAGCAGCAGGTC